ATGCTGAGCAGCGTGGGTGGAAAGTCAGGATCTACCCAGTGGAGGTCGGCTGTAGAGGGTTTGTCGGCCAATCCTCAGTCCGGTTTTTGAAGGACCTAGGAATGCGAGGTCAGGCTCTGCGGCAGATTGTGAAATCCCTTTCCAATGCTGCAGAGGAGGCCAGCCGTTGGCTGTGGTTGAAGAGAAAGGATAGTATCTGGGCCTGTAGACAGTAACAGTAGTTGAGCAAGGGGGGGATCACAAGCCGAGGGGGGCAAACCTGGGACGCTAGGTATTGCCGATGAGCCCTCTGGAGGTGTTGTGGGTTAATCATCGAAACACTCGTGAAGGAGGGTGCCCACCTGATGACCCCAATGAAGCCAGTGATCCTTGGCACTTGTCTCAATATCTCTCCTATTTCCAGTTTATAGTATATCCATCTTGGGATACGTGGATTCCGGGATTGTAACATCTAGTCCTTTACCTGAGAGGTTAGACTGATGCTGCGTCCCAGTTCACCTAATTATACTACGCCCTAAAAGTATATACTCTTTTTGTCAAGAAAAAGTACATACTTTGAGAGTGTAGCAGAAGAGTAGACAAGCTTTGGGACAAAATATCACGTATAGCGTCTTTAACGGTTGCTCTGTCTCATCCTTTCACAGCTGACCTGTCAATCATGTAGTCGCAGTTAAAATCCTCCACATTTCATTTATTCTCCTAATGTATCAGAGAAATGCAGAAACAAGTTGATCCGCAGTCGCGTGTCTTTCATGCGGAGACTCTCCTCATATTAATACATAATGATGCATTTAAAAGTTAATGGCCAAACAGATTTTTTAGAAAAGTTCACATTGTTGTTGCAGATGAAATATAAGATGGATAGCATTTAAGCTGATAAAAAAATATTAATTTAATGTTCATTTTTAGTCACTCAAACCTAGGGCTTTGCAAAAATATCAATACAGCTAATTATTGCGATATTTTTTTTCACAATAGTGTATTGCGATATTCCAACCTCTAGTATCGATACTTTAAATCAGTATCCCAGTCATTTCATCAAATCCCAGTGTGTCAAACGACCTCCTCAGTCCCTGGTGATCACCGACTCGCTGTCTACGTTGCCAGTCGTACGTACATACCCACGGCCAATGTCTCAGAAGTAACTGGGAGCGAGGATGGCGGAAAATATAAGAGCGCCTTCAGTTTGCAGAGCCGATGTGTGGGTGCACTTTGTTTTTAAAGGGGTCATATAATGCCATTTTTTGCCAAGTTAATATGATTCTTTAGGGTCTAAATAAAAAGTTTGTAATATACTTTAATAAAAAATTCTCATTAGTATTTTAAGAAAACACTCATTTTACCTGGTCAAAAACAGCTCTGTTTTCAGCACGCCGTTTCAGTGCATATGCCTTTAAATGATAATGAGCTTCGCTGACTCCGCCCCTCTGTTCTGCGGGCGCTTTGACACAACGCACGTGGAGTGTTGCCTTGACAACAGTTGAGGGTATATTTTGGAGAAAGCATGCCAGCGGGAGTCTCTGAGGACACATCTGTGCAACCGTATCAGTCTGAACCAGAGTCGGACCCGGAACAAGATGACGGCCACAAAGAAGTTCGACAATTAAGGCTCGGACAGGACGTTTCTGAATGGTTGGTTAACGTAATGTCACTTTGATCTATTTTTGTGTACTGGCAGGGTAGAGTAGTGAGATACGAACGCTGTGTGTTTACTGATGTATAGGTTAGTTCATTGACAGATTGATGTTACAGTTAATGGTCATAAACAACTTTTTTTTGCGATTTGCAAAGATTAATATAAAGGTCAATAAAACTTAACACTCACTTCTTCTGGAGGTGCAGCAGGGACATGAATAGTTGCTACCGATTCTTTTTTCAGGAGCAGCTTCTTAGCAAAACCATCTTTATACTGACCCTCCTTTATAAAGCAGTCTGCTGAGAAATGATTCGCGCAAACATAAACGCATTGACGTTGATCGTGGGGAATATTCCCTTTGAAAACAAAACTCAGCCACTGCGTCTTCAGCGGTTCGGATTTAGGAACATTAAAATGACTGCTGTGTTCGTTATTACACCCAAGAACAGAACACCACAATCGCTTAGACGCCATTCTGCTCCAGCGTATCAACAATGACGGACTATGATGACAGCTCGCTCAGGGCGGGTCTGTGTTGAAACGCTGCTGTCAATCAACAATTGTGGGAGGGGCGTCCCTCAAAAGGGAGATTTAAAAAAAAAAAAACACTGGATTGATTTTTATCATTATATGATGGCTGTGTACAGGCACTGCCAACACACATTTCAGTACAATCAACTTGAAAAAGTGCATGTAGCATTATATGACCCCTTTAAAATAAGTCAGGGAGTAATGAACAAGATGAAACAAATGCCATTTGTAAGCTTTACCAGGCTACACAAAAATATCCAGGAAACAACCAACTTGCGATGAAATAGCGGCACTGCAACCTCCGGCGAAATCGGTTGATTCAAGGCAAACTACACTGGATAACACCACCAACAGGCTTCCGTCAACCTCAGCTTGTGCAAAGAAGATAACGGAGTCGGTGGCGCATTTCATTTGTAAGGGTTTGCCACCGTGTAGTGTGGTTGAAAACTTCAGGCAAATGGTGAATACTATGGATGCGCGCGCTGTGAACGCGACTCGCAGATGAGTTATCAAAATATCAAATATCTTAAAATTGTTTGCAGCATAGTGGAGCAAAGTCAAGTCAGCTTTATTTATATTGCGCTCTTTGCAAAACAGAGATCGTTTCAAGGCAGCTTTATAGTGATAACAGGAAAATAACACAACGTTTGTTAAAGCTTTTACAGCAGCTCTAGAAGAAAATAGTGTCATTGTACATATTAAGTTCGTTCAGTAGTTGATTAATTTAGGTTGTAAAAATCATAAGGTATTAATTTAGTTTATTTATACAGCAGCTCTGTAGAAAACAGTGATGCCATCGATCAGTTCAGTTCTCATACAATGGTGTCGCTGCAGGCAGATCAATAATATTGTTGAATATTAAGCATACAGACTATTTCAGTTTTATAAATTATGGCATCTACATTTTAAGTGTTCAGTAACACAATATGCACTTCATATATTTCAGTGTGTTCACGGTTCAGTGACACTGTGCAATGCAAATAGCTTTGCTAATAATTTGGAATGGAAATTTTTCTGCTGAGTTATCAATATAATGTGATACACATACCAGAATACCTCAGGTAATACACAGCAAGTTGTATTTTCACCTCGAATATTTTTTTGCATTTTTATTAGGGCTGTCAAATGATTAATCACGATTAATCACATCCAAAATAAAAGTTTTTTTTACATAATATATGTGGGTGCACTGTGTATAATTATTTTGTATATATATATAAATACACACACATGCATGTATATTTAAGAAAAAAATATTATTTATATATAAAATATTTATATATAATATAAATTATATATAAATCTATATACAGTATATACATGAAAATATTTCTTAAATATATACAAGAATGTGTGTGTATTTATATATATATAAAATAATTATACACAGTGCACCCACATATATTATGTAAAAAAAACGTTTATTTTGGATGTGATTAATCACGATTAATCATTTGACAGCCCTAATTTTTATTTTTTTTAAAAATGTATCGCAATATTTCGTATCGTGATATGTATCGTATCATGAGCCACTTGCCAATACACAGCCCTACTCAAACCCTCTTATCCAATCTTTTCTACTTAACTGTCGATCGCGCACATCCGTCATGTTTTGAAGTTTTCTGAACACTTTTTTACTTTGTTTGTAGTTCTGAACTGGATCTTCAAGCGCAATGGGTTGTGGGCAATATTAGCCATTATAGTGAGCACGGATCCACTCTTTGAAAATCTATTGCAAATAGTAGACAGTCCAGGGACTTCTGGCATACTCTTTTCAGCATACTACTTGGGGACACATTTTAATCTCTCACATACTATTATGTGAGATTAATGGATAGTATGGACATTGGAACGCAGGGAGTTTACATTAAATCAATTGAACATGGGTAATTTCAGTAACTCAAAACTAAGTTTACTCAAACGCAGTTTTATCAATTTTTCAGTTATCACATCTATTAAAGTAACAGTTTCTGTTTCTTGATTCTCGGCCATAATCTCGGTTTATCACAGTTCATTTACCTGAAGTGGTTTGCTGTGATGATCGGTTCTGTGACGCGCACCGATAGAGAAGCATGTCTATTGGCTCCAATGAAAGTCGATTGCACAACCAACCATAGAATACAGAGATGCTTTTTGAAAATTATTATATAGGCCTATATATTTTCTGCATTGAATTCGTATCGCTTTCATAGGTTATTGAGTGCATGCAATAGAAATCCCTTTCATTTCCCTAAAGAAAAATAAAATATAACCAATTTGAACTGGAATGGCGTCCCCCTTCGAACTTTAATCCCCGACTCCGCGATTCAGAGAACACACTCAGCCATGTTTAACCAGGTTCTCATTCTTATCTGCACTCTCTAATGTCTCGTTTTCACCGGGTAAGAATAATTTTATTCTGGTTTAGGGCTGGGCAATATATCCAAAAATTTATATTGTGATATTTACAAAAATTTTGGTTGATCGTTTTATAAATGAATATACGCATTTTTATGAAAAAATACTTTTATATTCTGTATTATATTTTGGAAGATCTTTATTAATACAATGTAAGCTTATTAAGACCTGTGTAAATTGAAATGTATAAAAAAAACTGTGGTAATTAAAAGCTATTTAATTCTGCTCACCTTCATTTTTAAAATCCGGACAAGAAATGAAGTTTCTCTAAAAAAAAAAAAAAAATTTAAAAACAAGCATTTGCAAACCTCTCAAATTGACAGGTTTCATGTTACTGGAGACTTCTTCCAAGTCAAGATGGTTAATTTATTGATAAGAGTATTGATAAGATAATGTTCCTCATCAGTCATTAAAGAGAATGAAGGAAAACACCAACCTATTTGTTCCTCTGTATCTTCATCTTTTATTCTGCAGGGTTCTTCCTTAATCTCCATCTTTACAATAGTATGTCCGTAGTTTCTCCTGGAGTAATTCCTCCTGCTTGCTTCTTCTCCTGTGGGAAGATGGGAATATTTCCCAGCATTTAAACTCTCATGAACGGCTGTGGGAGCTTCATTGACTGAAGGAGTGAATTGTGGTCGTTGTTGCTCATTTAGCAGATGATCATCACACTTACAATCACTCGAGATTATAAGTGTTTTGATCAAACAGTCGTTTAAAAACAATTTAACTCATCTAGCTGATTTTATGTTGCTCTTACATTAGATATAACTAAAAACTCAGTTTACCAGGTTTTTATTACATGAAATGAAAAAACAGCCAGTTACGAGTTTAGTTTTCACGAGAGTAATGAACAACATCAGTCGATTCATTTCGATTAATTTATGAGTGATTCAATAAATAACTGACTCGTTTAGTCGTTTGGATTTAGATATATCCTAATAAATGATAAAATATATGTACGTTACTCACAGTCTGAAAACAGCAGATTTAGAGCTGAATGAACGGCTGTGTTCCACTTCTCTTGTTTATGTTCCCTTCCCTCGCTCACTTCTCTTCTTCTCCTAGACTCGGATGTGTGTCATTGCTGCGGTTGATCGAGCGCCTCTACTGGCGGAACTCGTCATTTAAACTTACAGGCAAGTCGCGGTACAGTGAAAGTTGCTCGTTCAAAGAAATGGCAAGATATTAGCCGATCTCGAAAAGTTAGGAGAAGCAATAATATTCAAACACCGGAATGCAATAGACTTTTATCTGTGTGATTTCTCACGAGCACATTAATGTTTCCTTTATGAAACTTACACATTTTTGCATGCAATTCGCCTTTGGCTAAGCCACACCCTAGAATGTAGATTGACCAATCACAACGCAGCCAAGAACGAGCTCCCACAGTGGTCCGACACTTTTTCACAGCGCTCCATTGACTTTAACACAGGCGTCTCATATTTTTGGTCTCGGCAGGCTATTGCCGTCGTAGTTTTATCAAAAATATGGTTAAACGTTGTGCCTGGGGCATTTGTAACACAGATACGCGTTTCCCAGAGAGGTTGGAGGGGGGTGTCCATTTTTTCAGGAAGTCAAATCCTGACAAGTGTCGTCTAGCTAGCACACGGTGCTAATAAATACAACGTTATACTCGCGTAGTCCGTTGTTTTGTAATAACGATTATAGAAGTGAATAGAGACCTACCCAGCTTTGCATGAACAGTGTTGCTCCTTGATATTGTTAGTCCCAGCCTCCGTCTCGATTAGTAGGATATGCGGTGGTTCATTTTTTGACTGTGACCGGTATGCTTTTGCCTCTATTTGGATGCCTTGTTGTTCCTTGCGTTTCACCTGTTTGTCGTTAATATAGCCTTCGAACGTATATTGCAGCCCCTTTTGCCTACTTCTATCGGACACTTTATTTGCTGCTTTATAAAAGTTTGATACATTTTCAGCAGGAAGAGCCGTCACAGCATAAGCCATGTTGATACCAGAGCCCATATGAAGTTTGTTTGTCGGACGTAGCAACAGTAACTAAGGGGGGCGGGGCTTAGCCAAAGGCGAATTCTTGAAGTCTGTGAAATTCCTTATTCAGTTGCAAAATTATGATGTTTCTGAAACGGATGCTGCTTGTCTTCATTCACTTCCATTGGGTCTCAAAACATGACATTCCCATAATTCAATAAAAAAGGGCAAATTATAAAAAAAACAAAAGAGCCGACTGTTATTATTCTAAAGTAGGCTGTTATTTCTTTATGGTATTTTAGTCTTTATCTTCTCAAAAGTGGTGTTGTTATCAGAAATTAGCGCTATATTTCCAGCACTGTAAACTATCAATTCAGAATATTGATGAGGGTTTATTGCTGAGAGATTGATTAAAGTGTGAATAAATGATCGGGAATCATTTGCAAATCGTAGATATGAAGATTTAAGTAACTTTTGTGTCAAAATATTAGCAAAGTTATATAAATAAGTTTAAGGAATGTTTTCATCAAAAACCGTAATTTCTTTTCGACTGAGGAAAGAAAGACATAGGCATCTTGGATGACATGGGGGTGAGTAAATTATCAGCAAAAGTTTTTTCAAAAGTGAACTACTCCTTTAATGTTTTTCTCCGTTAGTGGGATTGTGCCTGGACACTGTCCACTGCTTCTTTCTGCAACCGTTTGTTTCTGTCGGTTCGCGTCTCACAGACTGGGGCGCGGCGCTGTGGACTCGCGGAGGAGAAGAGGCTTCTGATTGGTCAGCGTCACACGACGCTCCGCCCACAACTCAAAACAGAGGCTTTGAAGTGACAATATGTTTAGGTAATGGAGCCCTTTATACATTGTCGTGTTTCTTTAGAAATAAATAATGGACAAATGGAGTCTTTAAACGCCTCAGATGTAAAGTTATTCGCTGTCAAAGTGACGCCAAAATGAATGGGAGTCAATGGTTCTGCTACAAGATGGCGGCACCCGGCCGGCTTCAACTTCCGGTCGATGGATTACCCCCTTGGAAAATACTCAGCAATAGGCCTTTTTCACGGAAGTTAGAGCGCACATCCGGTTCAGCGATTGTTGTGTAAAGCGACTTCCGGTCGAAACAACAATGGCTGAAGCAACATCGAGGTGTCACTGTAGCGTCCCTCATTGCACAACTAATAAGCAGCGACAACCATATTTGAGTTTTCATGCTTTTCCAAGCGACGACTGTCAGACAAAGAAGTGGATGCATGCTATTAGACGCGTAGAAGGCCCAATGTTTAAGATCCTTAGAGGCAGCACATTTGTTTGTAGCCGGCACTTTACCGACGCTAATTACACTGCTGCTACTGGTCGTAAGCGCCTCAGAAAAGGGGCTGTCCCGTCCCGATTTAAGTGGAACAACTGGGGAGAAACTTCACGAGAGTCGGTTTACAAAAGAATTCGAGTTCAAACCATAGAAACCTTTCCTATCCCTTCCTCTGACGACACCCAAGACGACGAAATCGATAGTGAGGTAACAGCTGGAGCAGACCATGACTATGCAGTCACTCCTCTTCCAGGTATGTTTAAGTTATGCATTTCTGAAAACAAATTATGAAGCAACTTTCCCGTTCTTTTTTTATTAAATCTGTTATTGAAGCTTTTAGTACATTTATGTTCCTTCACTTTCAAGACATATCATTTTAGTTCATTTTGACACAAATTGAAAATATCACCATACTCTATTTCTCCACATAATGCTGCCACAACTGAGCAGTAATAAAATTAAGATAAACAAAGTCTTAAAATGATCTAAAATGACTATTACAATAAACATTTGTTTTGAATCATAGTAAATTCCAGATAATTATACATATGAATTTGTAAATCAGACAGGTTGTATCACTGCACAACAACTTTGAGATATGGACACAGGGTCTGAGTGGGCAAAAGTTCTAATTTTGGGTATAATATGTAGTTATAATAATATTTGTTTACGTAAGTAATTAATATTTGTTTTGCCACTATGTTAAACTGTTATTTTTTTTGTATGAATCTAGGTGCACAGGATGCAGCAGCTGCACGAATACAGGATTTGGAAGCTGAAGTCAGAAAACTGGAAAGTGAGGTCATGCAGCTGAGAATGGGCCACTCTCTGTCCCAGTTTCAGAGATTCTGTGCTTCAGATGAAGACATACGTTTTTACACCAGATTTCCATCTGAAGAGGTCTTCCAAGCATTCTGGAAGGCTATTGAGCCCTCAGCATCCTTGCTAGTCTACTGGTCTAAGGCCCAGAAGAAAGAACAGGCAACTGCTGCGGAAGATTCTCACAGTCATCACCGCAGCTTGCCACTGATTGATGAATTTTTTTTGTACTGCTGTCGTGTTGCTGCAGGATTGAAGGAGAAAGTGTTGGCTGACATTTTCAAAGTAAGTGTCTCCACTGTTAGCCGCATCATCATAACTTGGGCTAGCTATCTTTACCTTGTCCTTGGATCATTGCCCATATGGATGAGCAGAGAGCAAGTGAATTCCACCATGCCAGACAAATTTAGGCAGTTTTGTCCAGAGGTGAGGGTCATCATTGACTGCACAGAGATAAGATGCCAGGATCCATCTTCACTCACGCTCCAGTCTGAGGTGTTCTCTTCATATAAAAAAAACACTACCTTCAAGGGGTTGATCGGTATTGCTCCTTGCGGAACAGTTACTTTTGTATCCAGCCTGTACACAGGTTCCATCTCCGATCAAGAGTTGACGAAACAGTCAGGGATTCTTGACTTGCTGGAGCCAGGTGATGCTTGTATGGCTGACAAAGGATTCACCATTGAGAAGATGCTGGCAGAACGGGGGGCCAAACTCATCATACCACCTTTTAAAACAGCAGCTCAGTTCAGCAAAGAAAATGCAGAGAGAACACAAGCGATAGCTCGTCTTCGAATTCTTGTTGAGAGAGCCATCAGAAGAGTGAAGGAGTTTCACATCTGGGACACCACTGTACCTTTAACCTTGTCTGGAACAGTTAACCAGCTGTGGACTAACTGCTGCTTGATGAGCAATTTTCAGTGGCCGCTTGATGTTAAAGGTCACAAAGGGGTATGTCCGTCATAGCCTTTTAATTTTAAAGGGATAGTTCACCCAAAAATGAAAATTCTGTCAGTAATTACTCTCCCTCATATTGTTCAACCCCGTAAAAGTTATTAAAGACATCGTTAAAATAGTCCAAGTGACTACAGTGGTTCAATATCTAGTTTATCAAGCGACGAGAAATACTTTTTTTGTGCTAAAACAAACAAAAATAACGACTTTATTTCAACTATTAATTTCCTTCAGTTCACTAGTGTAATTTTTGTTTGTTTTTGCACACAAAAAGTAATCAAAAAAATCTTTATTAGTGTTCCCAAGATGAACAAAGGTCTTACGGGGTTGGAACAACATGAGGGTGAGTAATTACTGACAGAATTTTCATTTTTGGGTGAACTATCCCTTTAAAAAGTGACTTGTATGTACACCTCTTGTATTATATTTTTCCCAAGATTATATTTTTTCACATTGTAATAGGCAATTATTATCAGCTATGCATTGTTGGACAATTAAAGTAACAATTGTAATTGTAGTTTCA